TAGAACTCGTGTAGCAATCCAAACCATTTTCTTTCCTTAATTAGTTGTATTGTTTTGCGTATAAGATGTTTGAAGGTACTGCTCCATAAACATGAACATCGCCGGAAAGGGGTAAGAGGGGCCTAAACAATCGATATCAGAAAACGTGATGGATTTCGCAATCTCGTGAAGAATATGTGACACAGCGTACATTTTTGCATAAATGATAGCAATAGCTTACTTATTCTCGATCACGGCCACACAAATGACACAAGAAAACAAATACGAAAGCTATGGTCGAGTATGCTGGAGTGTACTTTTAAGTGTACCTTTAAAATACTATTTTTTTTTGTTTTGTATAAATGGCATTATGCCCTTGTCTTTCTAAAGCTCTAGGTGGACAATTTTTGTGCTTTAAACTTGTTCGAACTTCATGGGATGAAAAACAAAGAAGAGTTGATTTCTTTCTAAATTAGTTATATATTTAACCCCAACCCATTAATTTTGACCTTAATGTTGTAGGTTTTGGCATAAAAGAATTCGATGATCCCTACACAACAAAACTTCTATATAAATCTCTGGTTCGGCCCATACTCGAATATCGTTTGTGTGTATGGTCCCCTCAATATACAAAGTATCAAGACCTTATTGAATCGGTACAGAAGCAATTCCTTTTGTTCGTTCTTCCGGGTTTTGATTGGGACCTACATCCCAATCCTCCTTATGCCGATAGACTACGCCTTTTGAACCTGCCCTCTCTTAAGGATCGTCGGACCTGCCACGGCGTGATTTTCCTTCAAAAACTAATAAATGGACTTATTTTTTCTAGTCAGCTCCTGATTCAAATACGTTTCTCAGTTCCTTCAAGGCCATCACGTTACTTTCGGCCTATAGCTTTGAATATTTGTAAGACAAATTTCGAGGCACATGATCCTTTTTGCGTTTTATGTTCGCTTTACAACTACCGGTACTTTTTGTTCTATTTTGAAATGTCATTAGACTTTAATAAAAACAATATATTAAGACACCTATCCTTGCCTCTGACCACCTCATGTGAGTCAGAGCATATCATTAAAAAAACACTCCTTACCCGGTCAGAGGTAAGGATATAGATTTATAATGGAAGATATATAAATATATAAATAAAAAATAAAAAAAAAAATCAAATCCTAGAAAATATAACGTTACTGAACAAAGACTATTACATAATCCGGTAATGTATAAGGAAATTTACAAATGGATTTGTTTGCCGAACGAATCGGCGCGGATTGGACAACTTTGTTGTTGCTTAAATCAAAGCAGAAAAAATTATTAGAACAACATACAAATGTATTTCCATGTATCACATGGCATATATGATACGATATGTCATTTTCGAAAAGTTTTGAAAACCCCTTAAGAGAAGGAAACTTTAAAGTGTCTGCTGGTGCAATGGTTCTACAGTCTAAACTCACTATTCATCAAAGCCGAGCGTACAACTAAGAGTGTGATGGAGATAGAAATATATATAATATATGATCACAAATGTATCCTATTGGAACTATTGAGCCAAAGTTTGAAGTTTGTCAGACAGGTGAGTGATATTAAGTAAACCTTCTTGTCAGTCGAGTTATATTTTGCTTTACACCGCAGGACCCAAGAACCGGCACAAATGTATCCTATTGGAACCCATTGCAAACATAAACAAGGCTTGATTAATTAAGCTCTTGCTCTGGGTATAAGAAAATAAAACTGCGTTAAGTCTAAAACCGTCACCTATACTCTAGGAATTCGAATTGTGAGGTACATATCAACAGGAGACAGGCAAGACATATGTATAGATGCAGTGGGAGCCAGAAATAGGATTGTGGTTAAGCTACAGTACACACTTGTTCCCTGGCAATGGGAACTATGCGATAAAAACCTTTGGCGTATAGTATACTATATATACATAAGTGATTAGCCTGCAAGCTTTCCAATTCAATGCGCTCCATCTCCAAACTGTGAATACTCAAACTAATATCGTGCACGATACCACATTGCACCGACTCCTTATGGCGTTGAATGAATTGAACAATTTAATTACACGCAATTAGTTTAAACTTTAAAGTAATCGAGTGTTCTGGACTGTGAGATACTGTGTACACGGTAAAAGATAAATCCAGTATTCAGTGGTATGCTCAGCCCATAGGCCTTAACGTGGAAGTTTTAGAATAAGGGCTCCAACAAAGTTTGTATACCCATTAAAATCAATAAATTTTAAACAAGTTTTACATTTTCCTATATTTTTATGATAACGCCGTTCGATTTTCAATAAATGCATATCGGAATTTAGGCTTATGATACTAAACTTGGCCAGATCTTAGGAAAGTGGCATGCAGAATGAGCAATATTTTGCAGTTCATTTTAAAATGTTATATGACAATTCTTGAAACATTACATAAAACAATTACATTTTATTGTAAAATATATAACCACATTTCTAAACAAAAATTTAAAATAAAATGTTTAAAGCATATTTTTTATTGATAACGGACTTTTTTTTTAGGTTTTTGGAGGAGATTTTTGAATTTTTTGTTTTTTATTTATTAAACGTTCCAATGGCAGCTAAATGAAATGCATAGGGAAAATTTTAATGAAAATTAACTCAAGATTGCAAAGGTCATTTATGATTAATACCGTTTGGTGATTATTTACTGATAGTGCCTAAGCAGAACCAAAATAATGTGACTTTTTTAATTGTGCTGTTTAAAATTTTATTCCATTTCATAAACATTACAGCAATTGTCATCCGATCTGCCCCGGATCATGTACATACATACTTACTGCAATAGAATGAAATAAAATTAATTGGTGGAGATCGACAAACTTTGAAGTTGAAATATAACCTGAACATAATATGTTCGCAAATTGGAGTTTGCGTTTGGTTCAGAACGTAACCCTTTTGATCTAGCTTAATGCGGCCTATCCTCAAATGAACAATGGAAAATAGAATATGTTTTAGCCAATTTGAAAGGTAATTATCGGATTTACTTCCGAAAAAAACCCAAACTGGCATCATTATGTCTTTTGAAGTACACGTTTCTACTATATCGCGTTCGTTTAATTCGCCAAGCATATGGGAAACTACGACAATCACCGTTATCAATGGCTTCACAAATTTTATCAGTTCATTCCTCAAATTCCCACACTCACTCGTACACCATCAGGGTGCTAACACTGACGCACGCTTGAATCACTTACCTGTGTGTCATTCAGAATCTCCAGGTGCTCTCCCTTGCGGAAGCTCAGGTCCTCGTCGGTACGGGCATCGTAGTCGTAGAGGGCGACGAATATTTTGGCGTTGGCGCTGGCCGTGTCGCTCTCCGGGATCTGTGGCACCGGACGGATCTGCTCTGGCGGCTGGCCGGCGTGCGGTGGCATAGGGATCTGCGGCACGCCCACGCCCACACCTATGGTGGTCGGCTCGTCCAATTTGGTGCGGTCGGCGGGGCCCTTGTCGGGCTCGCCTTTCTGTGTAGTCAGGCAATTGCCCATAGCTGCTCGACGGAGGTAGAGTCGGAGTAGCTACTGTAGTTGGCGCAGCGGCTGCCGCTGTGTGCGTGCTTAGTTCGTGTTAAATGCAATGAATGGAAGCAAACTTGCAGCGGTGGCGATTACGTTTACGGTTACTTTCACTGCGCCCGTGCACCGCGCTTGGTTTGTTTATAGTTTATATATTTTCGCTGCGAGATCAGCGCTGGGTGTTGGCACTTCTCGTCGCTCTCTCTTTTTCTCTCCTCTCTCGATCTTTGTATCTCCCCGCTCCGCTTCCCCTTATCCACCGTGCAGTGTTGTGACTGGACTCCCCCTTCCAATTTGTGCAATTGCTGTCCGATTATCACTCAACTCTGTGCTTCACTGTGCGCCTTAACTAAATTATGTGCAGGCGTGTGTGTGTGCGTGCGTGATTTTTTACTTTTATCTACATTCACCCGTATAGGCAGATGTTGCTGTGTGGGTGTGTGTGATGCTGTAGCTGTTGGCCACCAATACAGTATGCACGGTGACGTCGAGGAGGCCGCGAAAACGGTTCGAAATCGGTGATTAACAGGAGGAACACGCGCGTGCACTATTATTTAGCTTGGTTGGCATTCGCGTTTACATTTTTAACTCAGTTATTGGCCTCTTTTTACCATCGCGTTGCAAAGAGCGTATAGCTATGGGTGACAGTTCCTGCACATCGATATTAGCTATCGCGAAGTGCAATCGATATTTTGACAGAAAATATCGATACAACTTCGTATAAATAATTTTGTTAATTTGACAATTTTATGTGAAAAGAAGATCATTACTGCTGCTTTAATAAAGCTAACTAATTGTAATAAGATAATATAACAATATTTATTGTAAATCAAAAAACACTAATATGCTGCATTTGTTAACTATCGCACGAAGGTGTTTCCATTAGGCTGAATTTTTATACCTATTCTTTGAGAAAACATTTTCTTTTTGTTTTGAAGTTTTCCAGGAATAAATACTTTTCTTTATTAGATACCTTCCCAGTAACTTGCACGATTTCAGGTGGCATAAAGTATGTACGTAAAACCTTATCTTCACAAGCAAGAATTTATGATTATAGACTCCAATACTCCAATGTGTGAAAATATTGGCGATGAATTGGCGGTATATTTTAAAAATTAAATGTTAATTTTTGTACATATTTTTAACTACAGGACCATTTAGTTTGCGGTTCAACTGAAAACAGCTGTTCTCATACAAGTTGCTAAAAATATCTTGGTTATCGCGATACATCGACGATATTTTCAGTAATTTACACATTCAGTGGAATACTCTGGTTAATTTATTAGATCTCTGTAGCTATTAAATCATTTTGCCGATATTTTTTAGCTACCTTGGTCGCTGAATTACTGAAAATATCGAGTAAGCCATTTTTGTGGGAACAGCTCGTTTTATTTGCAAAAATGCTGTCGTGGTGGGAACGGTGTCATACCCCTATACATATCGATAGTATCGAAAGTGGTATAGTACTATTGATTGATCAGAATTGTTCCATGTTTTATATCGAGTCCCAGATTTGAGACAATAAAAAGGAAAAAATGGATATAAAATCTTTCTTGTACGAATTTTGTGCTAAGTCGCGCATTGAGCCAAAGTTTGAAGTTCGTCAGACAGGTGAGTGATATTAAGTAAACCTTCTTGTCAGTCGAGTTATATTTTGCTTTACACCGCAGGACCCAAGAACCGGCAGCGTTTCCTCTGCGAAGTTCGTGTCGAGCAGAATAACTACATAGGTGTGGGCAACTCCACCAACAAAAAGGATGCAGAGAAGAACGCGTGCCGCGACTTTGTAAACTATCTGGTGCGCGTGGGTAAGTTAAAGGCCCAGGATGTACCGGCAGATCCCAGTGCTCCATCAGCGGGAGCTTTCAAAGAATGTGCACCGGGCGTAGCAACTGCAGGCCCGGGCGGCCAGCAGAGACGTGTGTTTGGTGACCAGTCGGGTCCGCAAGATCTGGGCGAGGCGTATAGGCCCCTCAACCACGAAGGAGGCAGCGACCGTTTTAATATTATCGACCATGTGCAGGAGCAAAAGGATATGAACGAGGCAGAGTCAATTGACGTAAATGCTGCTATTCACGGTAACTGGACAATTGAAAATGCCAAGGACCGTCTTAACATGTACAAGCAGTCGAACAATATTCGCGACGATTACAAGTACACTCCGGTGGGCCCGGACCACGCTAGGTATGTGCCTATTATTCTCTTCCGCGTCTGCGTTCTGGATTTGGTTTAAACTCTTACTGACCAAGTCCAAAGCGCAGTCCGCACACTTGGGTTGACTGGGCGCAGGCCGTGGAGGGCTTAGCCAGCAGAGCGAGGTGGTACGATACTGACCCTTTGAACCAGCGCCCGGTTGCCCTGCATGGGGCCTGTGACTGAAACGGACACCCATGCAGAGCGGCGTAGGCAGCATATATTCTAGCGCTAGTAAGCCGGCTGCGCTTTAAACATTAGAACCATATCGCTCTGGCGGCTGGCCTGTTTCTCCACTGAGCATGATCCCAAGGGGTAAGTTCCGACTCAAAGCCCGTAGCCAAAATAACAAATATTTTAATAACGTCATCAATCCAGGAGCTTTATGGCCGAACTGTCTATATACGTGCCAGCTCTCAAGCGTAAGGTGACGGCCCGTGAGACGGGATCCAACAAGAAATCTGCCAGCAAGTCGTGCGCCTTATCTTTGGTACGCCAGCTGTTTCACCTAAAGGTAATTGAGGCCTTCAGCGGCACCCTAAAAAAGAAAAAGGACGAGGAGCTGAAACCCTACCCGGTGAAGCTGTCCCCAAACCTTGTGGACAACTTAGATGAGGTCATCAAGGTGCTGGATCTCCCCGTTGTTAATCCGCGAAATATCAAAATCGAGAAGGACGGTGCTCCCATTCCATTAATAGTAAGTACAAATATTGTTATATTGTTTTGTTTAAAATAGTTTATCTTCTTATATATACAAATTATACCCGTTTCACCTGGTTGCGGCATAATTTGAGATTAGCTAGACCTATTTGGCTGATTTCATTTTATTTGATTTTATTTTTGTAGTTAAACCTCAGAGCAGAGAATGATATACATAGGGGCGCCATGTGGGCATAACCGCGTCTTACATCGCGAATAAAATTGTTTTTATAAATTGAGCTGCTACATCTCCAAAAATAATACATATATAAAAATCGCAGCACGCCACTACGGTAACTTTATTTATTTATTTGTTCTATGTATGTAAAAGAAAAATCAGACATCGGTCTAGCAGTTCTCAAAATGCAACTAAGCAGACGTACAAACTTAAGCAGCAGAACTCGAAATGCTGAAAAAAAAGTTGTGTTTTAATCCCCACAAGCTGCATTCAGCTATAATGTGATAATTGATTACAGTTCAGAACAAATTGTTGCTGTTGGTCTTATGAATGTTCTGTGTCCACATTGCAAGGCATTAAAATTCAATAATGAAGCCCTTGGATTGTGTTGCGCCAGCGGCCAAGTCAAATTGACGCCATTGGAAACGCCATCTGAGCCATTACATTCATTGGTGTTCCGAAAAGGGCCATAATCTAATAATTTCTTGACTCGTATCCAAGAATACAATTTGCAATGTCGATAAATAAATCGCAAGGGCAGACACTAAGTGTTTGTGGCATCAACCTAGAAAATGCATTTTTTTCACATTTTCTGAAATAATAAAAAATGGGCTTATCTCAAAAATATTGAAAATATGTTGAAAACAGCTAAGATATAACTTTTTCCTAAAAATTTGTCGATCATTTGTATGGTATCTATGATATATTCATCTAATCCGGCTCGTTTCGACATACAGTGAGAGTATTCAGAAGACCATATGCAAAGTTTCATTCAGATTTAAACTGACGGACGGACGGACGGACATGACAAGATCGACTCAGTTATTGATGCTAATCAAGAAAATAAAGTATATTATAGGGTCGGAAATGTCTCCTTAACTGCGTTGCAAACTTCTGACTGAAAGGTATACAAATATTATTTATCAAAAAACATTAGAATAAGCCTCTGCTTATAAGTGTTTGTTATTTTGTGTTTGTTTTTAAGTGTTTTTTATTTAGTTAATTATTTATAAAAACATATAAATTTTGATCAGTTTCACACGAGTCGGTGCAGCCACGTTTTGTGGCCTACGTTTTGTGACAAAGGATGCATCAAATAAGAGGGGGGTTTTAATCTCAGTTATGAAAGAGCTTATGTTTTTCTGGTCGAAAACAATTGCGTTCAATAAAAAAAAAGTAAAACTTAAGGTTAACTTTAACTTAAACCTATCTTACCTTTTAGTTTCTTGTGGTTAGCTCTTTTCCAAAAGAGGTCGATCAAATTAGTGAAGCTTATGGTTGCATGACAATATAATTGCAATTTCAAGACATGAGCTCTAAAACTAGGCAGAAGTTATATTTTCAAAGCCACATACATATGTATAGGTCATCAGAGAAACGGAGCTGCATCCTGTGGTCGTATGAAACTAAAGGCACATTAATTTACATTACCTAAGATGAAAAAACAGCGAAGGTTTATTTGTTTCTTTCTACTAACTCTCCGATTGTTACTATGCCGACTATATTATAATTCTGATAAATTTGAAGATTTTTTGTCCAGAGTAGATGAAAATTTGTTAAAAATTTAATAGCTATAATTTTCTTTTCTAGAAATATGTGCTATATTATATAGTCGTCCGACTTCTGACTAAGATTAGAATACCCTGTAGGGGTGTAAAAAATACAGCTTGTTTAATTTTTGAAGGTTTTAACGTTATTTCCTATCTAATTTATTATCATGCTTTCCTTAGGTTAGTGTAAACCGCGTGGACCCTTTGGTACCTGGGGGCGAAAACCGACAGGAAAGCTCAGTGATTCCATGGGCCCCCCCGCAGCCAAATTGGAATACATGGCATGCCTGCAACATCGATGAAGGCGAGCTGGCCACCACATCAATCGAAGATCTTTCGATGGACTTTGAACGCTCGTTGCGCGAACGCCGTCAAAACGACGCGGAATATCGCCAGTTCCTCGAGTTTCGTGACAAGTTGCCCATTGCGGCCATGCGCTCCGAGATTCTCAGCGCCATCAATGAGAATCCAGTGGTAATTATCCGCGGCAACACCGGCTGCGGAAAGACCACACAGATAGCGCAGTACATTCTCGACGACTACATTTCATCCGGCCAGGGAGGTTTCGCCAACATATATGTGACCCAGCCGCGTCGCATCTCGGCCATATCAGTAGCAGAGCGCGTGGCCCGTGAACGCTGCGAGCAGCTGGGCGACACCGTGGGCTACTCCGTTCGCTTTGAGTCTGTATTCCCGCGGCCTTACGGGGGTATCCTCTTCTGCACCGTCGGAGTTCTGTTACGCAAGCTCGAGGCCGGCTTGAGAGGCGTCTCCCATATCATCGTTGACGAAATCCACGAGCGAGATGTGAACAGCGATTTTCTGCTGGTCATTCTTCGCGATATGGTGGCCACCTATCCGGATCTACACGGTGAGATTACATTTGCAAACACAATTTGAACGTGAACTCCTAATACAACATTTTCCATAATCAAACGTTAACATTAACATATGTGTTTTATCTTTCAAGTTATTCTTATGTCGGCCACCATCGACACCACGCTTTTTGCCAATTACTTTGGCGGCTGTCCAGTACTGGAGGTTCCCGGACGAGCCTTTCCTGTTCAGCAATTCTTTTTGGAAGATATACTGCAGATGACCAACTTTGTGCCCTCGGTGGAGTCCCGACGGAAGCGGAAGGAGGCAGAGGACGAGGAACAGATGCAGCTCTCGGAGAACAAGGAGGAGGCAGAAACCAATTACAACAAGGTGTGCGAGGCCAAGTACTCGGAGCAGACCCGGAACTCCATGGCCATGCTGTCCGAGTCGGACGTGAGTTTCGAGCTCTTAGAGGCGCTTCTGGTGCTGATCAAGTCAAAGAACATCCCTGGTGCCATCCTCGTCTTCCTTCCCGGCTGGAACTTGATCTTTGCTCTTATGAAGTTCCTGCAGAGCTCAAAAACATTTGGAAACTCGGCTCTGTACCGCATCCTTCCGTGCCACTCGCAGATTCCGCGCGACGACCAGCGCAAGGTGTTCGACCCCGTGCCGGACGGCGTCACAAAGATAATCCTGTCCACGAACATAGCTGAGACCTCGATCACCATCGATGACATCGTCTTCGTTGTGGACATTTGCAAGGCTCGTATGAAGCTCTTTACCTCGCACAATAATCTCACCAGCTACGCCACCGTGTGGGCTAGCAAGACCAACCTGGAGCAGCGCAAGGGTCGCGCTGGCCGCGTCCGTCCTGGCTTCTGCTTCACACTCTGCTCTCGCGCCCGTTTCGCTGTGCTCGAGGACAATCTCACGCCGGAGATGTTCCGCACGCCGCTGCACGAGATGGCTCTTACCATCAAGTTGCTCCGCCTTGGTGCCATTCACCACTTTCTGTCAAAGGCTCTGGAGCCGCCGCCAGTGGACGCTGTCATCGAGGCCGAGGTACTTCTGCGAGAGATGCGCTGCCTGGACGCCAACGATGAATTGACCCCACTAGGGCGCCTGCTGGCGCGCCTGCCCATTGAGCCCCGCTTGGGCAAGATGATGGTACTGGGCGCCGTTTTCGGCTGCGCCGACCTGGTGGCCAGCATGGCCTCCTATTCCAGCACCTTCTCCGAGGTGTTTGCGCTGGACATCGGCCAGCGTCGACTTGCAAATCATCAGAAGGCGCTGAGTGGTCGCAAGTGCTCCGACCACGTGGCAATGATTGTGGCGTCGCAACTGTGGCAGCGAGCCAAGCATCGTGGCGAGCAGGAGGAGGCTCGCTTCTGCGACAGGAAGGGTCTGCAGATGTCCACCATGAACGTGATGTGGGAGGCCAAACAGCAACTGTTGGATCTGCTGCAGCAGGCTGGCTTCCCAGAGGAGTGCATGTTGCCTCACCATGTGGAAGCCGATTCTGAAAAGACCGACCCTATGCTGGATGTGGCACTGGCACTGCTCTGCCTCGGCCTCTATCCCAACATCTGCGTGCACAAGGAGAAGCGCAAGGTTCTAACCACTGAGTCCAAGGCGGCCCTGCTGCACAAGACCTCGGTTAACTGCAGCAACCTGGCCATCACCTTTCCTTATCCATTCTTCGTCTTTGGCGAGAAGATCCGCACACGCGCCGTTTCCTGCAAGCAGCTTTCGATGGTTTCTCCGCTTCAGGTGATGCTGTTCGGTTCGCGTAAGATCGACCTGGCCACCGATAACATCGTGCGAGTGGACAACTGGGTAAACTTTGAAATGGAGCCGGAACATGCCGCCAAGATCGCAGCACTGAAGCCGGCATTGGAAGATCTCATCACGATTGCCTGCGACAATCCCGCCGATGTGCTTCGCTTGGAGAATCCCTACTCCATGCTAGTCGGTGTGGTTAGGAATCTTTGTGACGAGAACGCCGGCGACTTTGGACTGCAGCGCGAAACTGGAATCTTGCCGCACCAGTCGCGACAGGCAGGTTTCAGTGGTGGAGGTGGCGGTCCGGCCAAAAGAGGTCGCTTCGATAACGGCGGCGGAGGCGGTGGTGGACGCTTCGGGAACAGAGGTGGCTATGGAAATCAGGGAAACAGCAGCTATGGTCGTGGCGGGCGTCGCAACTATGGCGGTGAAGGTTTCGGTAATTATGGAGGAGGTTTTGGAAATAATGGAGGTGGTTTTGGGAATAATGGAGGTGGATTCGGAAATACCGGAGGAGCTGGATTTGGCAATAATGGAGGCGGCGGCGGCGGATCAGGCGGTGGCTATGGAAACTATGGAAATTCCGGAGGAAATAACTTCTCGGGAGGCGCTAACCAGAACAACAGCTGGGGACACTATTAAGGGCTTTCATATGTTGATTATATTATTATTATATAATAAAATACACAAGACATACATATTTATAATAAATAAATTATAAATCCAACATAAACATCACAATAAAACCAAGTGTTCTGTGTTCGTGGCAGGCAGGAAGCTGAAGTGGTGGATACGGCTGTCCCAAACGCAGGTTTAAAGCGGTGTATATTGGGGGAGGGGGATCGCATTTTACAATTGTATGGCCGAAGGTTTAATACACTGCTATATTTGCCCCACCAACGGGCAACATTTCAAAATACAACTGTTTGTTTTGACTAGTGGTGGCAGTTAGGCAAACTAATATATCGGTTACTGTTATCGTGTTTATGCGAGTCTGATTTCGCGTATTCAATGCTGCAGGACAGATTAAAAAGGCAATAAAATATGATAAAATTCGTTAGGAGAGGACAAAAATAAATCTATGCAAAAAGGCATTTCAAAATATTATATTGAAGAAACAGATGAAATCGCCCTAACATGAATTCCTGCATTATTGATCTATTTTATTGGAGGTCGGATAAGTTATGAGTGGTCTAGGAACCATATTGTTTTAAAGTTTTCCCTGGCGTATATGCATTCCGGGCAGACAGATATTACAACTTTTTGAATTTTGGGGTAGAAACTGGTTCTTACGGCAGTTACTAACATCTGCGAATAATTTTCCAGTGGCAAAACGTCATTTAAAAAAGAAAAAAGCTGGAAAAACTTTCTCAAGACGAACTCTTTAAAGGAGAAGTTTCCAGGCAAGAAGCAGAAGTACATTTTTTATTTATAAAACTAAGTTAAGCAACATTAAAAATAATTAAGATGAATATAATATAAGCAATAAAATAATAATTTAATAATTAAAAAATTCAAATACGCCTCCTATGAACCACCGTGTAATTGGCTGAGCTCCCAACCCTGTAAAACTCGAACTATCGACTAACGTCAAATGTCATATATCGATATATCGCTAGCTCAAATGTTATCCCTAGCATTTCAGCGGCGCGAAGTTTTTGTTTTTTAGGGTTTTATGATTGTAATACAACGGTAAATAATTGCACCATTGAAACAGGGGACTGAAATGGACTTCGATATCGCTAAGGAGAACATCCAACCGTTAGCGAGCGGTCGCAACGTTAGCCTGCTGCAGGCCTCACTCAGCCTGGACTCCGCGCAGGGCCAGGAGCTAGTTGCGCAGCGCAGCAAGTTGAAGAAGGAATTGGAGAACTATACCGGCGAGGATCCCCTGGACCCATGGCACGCATACATCTGCTGGATCGAGCAGAGTTATCCGGCGGGCGGCAGCGAATCCAAATTGCAGGTGGTTCTGAAGGACTGCCTCACAAAATTCGAAAAGGATGTTCGCTACCAGCAGGACAGGCGGTTCATCAAGCTGTTTATTAAATTTGTAAGTAAGGATAATAAGTTTGTGGACTAGCCAATCTCTACCCCCTCCGTTGCACGATTCCAGGCGCAAGAGCTGAAGAACCCGATCGAGTTGTACCAGGAAATGTATAGTCGCGGGACTGGCACGATGCTCGCGGATTTCTACATCGCCTGGGCGTACTGCTGTGACTTGAGCGGCAACATGCAAAAGGCCGACGAGATCTTTCGCCTGGGTCTCCAGTGCCGGGCCCAGCCGCTCGAGGAGCTAAGGGAAGCCCACCAGCACTTCGGGTATACGGTGGGTCAGCGCATGTTGTACTCTGACGGCGAGCAGGCCGACGCAGTCAACCAAGAGCTGCACGAGCGTCGGTTGGCCTTGCAGTCGTTAAAGGGACGTCGCCAACGGGGGTCCAACACTATTACGGTGGGAAGCGTGCGTACCGGAGCTGCCGTAAAGAGCGAATTTCCGGGTGTGGTGCAGGTAAGAAATGCCGAAGTCTACGTTCCCATAAATCGGAACGTTATCAAAGTGACAGAGTCCTAGGAGTCAGAATCATTATAAGAATGATGTATATTTTTTAAAATTTTTATAATGTTGATTTCTATTATTATTAAGGCTTACAAATGTCAGTCCTACAATTACCTAAGCTCAAAAATAACCGAAACAAGAACAACTGCAGAGCGCTTCGTGTTTCTTTAAAGATCTCATTTTTCGTTCTCTTATTAACAACATATGCATTTTGCATTTTATTTAATGTTAAGAGGGTTGACCCATGTGACCGTTTACAAAAATCAAAAGTTTTCTTAGGTTAGCTCGCTTTTCTAACTTATTTTCACGTTTTTCCAACTGGTCAACTTGATTTCTTAAAAACGACTTAACCGAAATTTGCACAATATGTTCAGCATACATGCGGTCATCGCACTAGTCATAGACTAGTTTATTTTGCAGGGCGTTTTTAGTTTTTTATTCCGCATTTTTCCGCATTCATCCAGATCATAATTGCATTTAAATTTTTTAAATCGACCTTCCCAGTTCGTGTTGACCTTTGTTTTTTGTGTAGTATTTTGGTTGCCAAAATATCTCGAAAATGTTATAATATTTTAACTAAAAAAAATTTAGAAAAATACTGCATACTTTACTTAATAACTGGAAAAACATTCAAATTGTAAAGTTGCGCTCTTCAGAGAAAATTTAAAAAAATTGGTAAACCCCTTAAATTTATTGTCTTTTGCGTTTAATAACTTAAATTCTTCCAAATATCTCGAAACGCTTTGATTAAAAAAAATAAATCAAAAACACTTATTGATATTTATATATGTATTCCCCAATATAATATGTGAATATTCGTAGGGATCTTTGTAAGAAGGTCGTGTAAATTGTTAATACAAACAGTGGATACTTTCAGATGGGTGGCCCTAGCACCAGCCGCATGCAGAATTCTGATCGTAACGTGGAGGTTTTCAGAGACGAGAACGGCGCCATGCTGTCTGCGGTGCCTCAAGAGGTGAAAACAAGCCACACCTCGATCGTCGAGGCAGCTCGCGGGATAGAAAACCTCAAGGAGTCAATGCCCTGGAACAAGGCTCACGCCAAGACGCACAAGCACGGCAAAATCTTCTCCGGCGACTCCTCGCCAGAGCTGGGCTTCGATATACATGTCGACGAGTATGTTTTTCCACCCATCACCAACTACGACCGACGCTTTGACAAGCCCTTTCGATTTCCCCCCAATTTCGTGGCCAAGAACAAGCCATTGGAGACATGGGTGACCCAAGTAACAATTGAGCAGGAGCCGGAAGCAAATGCAGTGCCGTGTTATAACAAACCATTGCTATACCCGCGACCCAATATAGAACTCTCCCCCGAGGAGTATCGTGGCTACATTTATCTTAGAAGACATGAGCCGAAGCATCCGTTGGTCCTCCGTAACGACCCGTGGTGGGGCACTGGTGGGGAGCTCAGAGGAATACGCCTCTACCCAAACTTTGCCACCGCCTCCAAGCCGCAAGCGCTGGACGAGCTAGACAAGTATTTTAAACCGCCAAAAGTGCCCAACATTCAAGTCGATTTCGACCAGCTCTATAACGACGATGAGCAGACAGAGTACCAACAGGAGGAGTTGCTGGCAGCCAAGTGGCGGCAGAAACGTAATCTTACAGTTATTAGCGACTTTGATATGGATGAGACTGCATGCCTGCCCGAGGACAAAATGCCGCGCCGCAAGAGTTTCTTTCCCTCTTCCTCCAGAAAGTCAATGATGCCGCGCAGAGAGGATCGCGCGGAGGTTACGGAACCGGCAGCCCTAGGAGACGATGCTCCGGCAACGTCGTCTGATGTCTTGCGTCAACCCGCTGCCTCATCGCAACCGCCTGTTACGACCGAGCAGCCCAAGGTGCATATACTTGAGGATCCCGGTTCAACCGGTTCAACTGCAGATGTTAAATTTGCTGTGCCAGATCCGCCTCTGCGTACTATACAGATTTACCAGGACCCAGATGAGCCAGAGTCTGCGCCCGTAACTAAAGCACCTGTTTTCGACGCAGATGAAACGTGCTCTACGCAAATGTTCAACATGTTCATAAAATCTCATGGCATAAGTACGCCGAAGGGCCCGCAGAAGCAGGCTCCATCCCGGCAGTTTGGCACTGTGCTTAAGGAGCTGTCGCCGACGGAGGAGCCCGCTTCCTCTCCCACCTCTACCGAGTTTCCGGTGGATTCGCACTCACCCATGTTACGCAAACAGCTGTCGACCATCTTGGAGACCTCGGAACACGGCACTCAAAGTTCGGCGGCCACTAACGCCACTACTAAGTCGACCATTACTTCAACTTCTTCTTCCCCCGGCTCACGCACTACACCCACTCTGACCGCCACCCCTGGACCACTGAGGCAGCAGCGCCTGCCTGGCCTTGATAGCTCCACAGTTAGTGAGGAACAGGAGAAGAGGGCTGGCCATAATTTTTCGCGCCGAGAGCTTTGGGAGCAAAATGCTCCCAGCGTGCCGATGATGAAATCGCTGCGTTTCCAGGAGGATAAGACTGAGACGATTCCTAGAGCTCTGCCCTGCTTCCAGGAAGACAAAACCGAAACGTTGCCGCGACTGCCTGTCGGTTTACCAGAGTGCGCGATAGCTGCTGGACTACTGACACCACCGAAGATTCCAACGCTCGATGACGATGACCTTTGCGGGCTCTTTGCAAAGACGCCGCCAAAGATGAAGACGTTTGGCTCTTCCATTTCACAGGACGCTTCGCGGCGTATTTGCGAGCGAAACACTTCCGAAATGTTTTCGAAGCCACCGAGAAGCACTCGGGACTCAATTGGTGTCTCCTTTGTTGAGACCATCGGTAAACCTTCGGCCGCACCTGATGGCTGCCAGCTGGCGGACTCCTTCATGAACGAATTGTCCTTTGTTCCCGAGACACAGCCCGTGAATGAACCCGGCGCTCCGGCTACGCAACAGAAGTTCGAGATCTTCCTCGACGAGACACAGCCAGAGATGATAAAGCCAAAACCACCAATGGGCTGCAGTTTTAGCTTGGACTGCACGGTGCCCGAAACGCAGCAGTCAGTAGTGCATAAGGAAGCAGCTAAGAAGCCGGAGACTGTAGGACCATCGCACATGATCGCTTCGTTCATGAATGATTGCACAGAGCTGAGTAGCTGTCCGCCACAACTTCCGCTATCGTCGGGAACTCTGAAGTTCGCCAGCGATTCTCCCAGCTCAAGCCAATCAAAGAGTAGTGGAGGGCACTCCGATAACTTCTTCGAACTAAATGCTGCCACGGAGATGTTTGCCACTAACATTAGCATGATTAAGAATT